TGTTGTGTTTCTATATACTAGCAATGAACTAGTAGAAAGAGAAATTAAAAAAACAATCCCATTTACAATTGCAACAAAAATAATAAAATACCTAGGAACAAATTTAATCAAGGAGGTGAAACACCTGTGCACTGAAAACTGTAAGACATTGTTGAAAGAAATTGAAGAAGACACAAAGAAATGGAAAGATATTCTGTGCTCATGGACTGGAAGAACTAACATTGTTAAAATTTCCATATTACCTAAAGCAATCTGCAGATTCAACGCAATCCCTAACAAAATCCCAATGACATTTTTCAGACATAGAAGAAAAAAATCCTAAAATTTTATGGAACCACAGAAGACCCCCGTATAGCCAAAGCAATCCTGAGAAAAAAGTACAAAGCTAGAGAAATCACACTCCTTGATTTCAAATTATACTACAAAGCTATAGTAATGAAAACAGCATGGTATTGGCAGAAAAACAGACACACAGATCAATGGAACAGAATTGAGAGCCCAGAAATAAACTTACACATCTATGGATAACTAATTTACAACAAAGGAGCCAAGAACATATAATGGAGAAAGGAAAGTCTCTTCAATAAATGGAGTTGGGAAAACTGGACAGTCACATGCAAAAGAATGAAACTAGACTACTATCTTATACCATATACCAAAATTAACTCAAAATGGATTAAAGCCTTGAACGTAAGACCTGAAACCATAAAACTCCTAGAAGAAATCATAGGCAGTATGCTCTTTGATATCGGTCTTCGCAGTATCTTTTGGGATATGTCTCCTCAGGCAAGGGACACAAAAGCAAAAACAAACAAATGAGACTACATCAAACTAAAAAGCTTCTGCACAGCAAAGGAAACCAGCAACAAAATGAGAACACAACCTACTGGGAGAAGATATTTGCAAATCATACATCTGATAAGGGGTTAATATCTAAAATATATAAAGAACTCATACAACTCAACAACAAAAAAAAACCCAATTAAAAAATGGACAAAGGATCTGAATAGACATTTTTCCAAAGAAGACATACAGATGGCCATCAAGCACATGAAAAGATGTTCAACATCACTAATTATCAGGGAAATGCAAATCAAAACCACAATGAAATATCATCTCACACCTATTAGAATGGCTATTATCAAAAAGACAAAAAATACCAAGTGTTGGAGAGGATATGGAGAAAAGGGAACCCTTGTACAGTGTTGGTGGGAATGTAAATTGGTGCAGCCACTATGGAAAACAGTATGGAAATTCCTCAAAAAACTAAGAATAGAACTAGCATATGATCCAGTATTTATCTGGGTATTTATCCAAAGAATATGAAAACACTAACCCGAAAAGATATCTGCACCCCTGTGTTCATTGTAGCATTATTTACAATAGCCAAGATATGGCAACAATCTAAGTGCCCATTGATGGATGAATGGATAAAGAAGATGTGGTATATATATGCAATGGAATACTATTCAGCCATAAAAATGATGAAATCTTGCCATTTGCGACAACATAGATGGACCTTGAGGGTATTAATGCTAAGTGAAATAAGTCAGACAGAAAGACAAATACCGTATGATTTCACTCATATGTGGAATATATAAAAAAACAAAATAAATGAACAAAACAAAACAAAAACAAACACATAGATACAAAGAACAGATTGGTGGTTACCAGAGAGAAAGGAGGCTGGGGGGAGGGTAAAATGGGTAAAGGGGATCAATTTTATGGCGATGGATGGAAACTAGATTTTGGTGGTCAGCATGCTGTAGTGTATACAGAAGTCAAATTATAATGTTGTACACACGAAACTGATATAATGTTATAAACCCATGTTAGCTCAATTAAAAAAAAAGAGTTATTGATTAGATGTGGCAGAAAAAGAAAAGAAGCAACCTAAAATGACTCCAAGATTTCAAATTTGGATGATTGGATAGAAGGTAGCACCATTCAACGAGATAGGGAAAACAGAAGGAAGAACAAATTTGGAGAGAAAGACGATGAGTTTGATTTCTGAAATATTAGGTTTGAGATATCTCATGGAAGGCTCCAGGAGAAAAACATCTAACATGCACTTGAATCCATGGGTTTGGGGCTCAGGAAAGAATACGTGAGCTAAAGATAAAGTTATAGTTGTTATGAGCATCTAGATGATAGCTGATTCCACGGGCATTAATAAGATCAGCCAGGAGGTCATGTACAGTGAAGGAGAGAGGCCAAGGCACAATGATATTAAAGGATGAGCAGAGGAGACTGAGGAGGAACAGTAAGAGGTAGGAGGAAAATACAGTATTTTAAAAGCCAAGAAGAAATGATTTCCTATTTTCTTTTAATTACCAGGATACTTGTGTCACCATAAGCATTTTCCAGGGGAAAGAAAAATAAATGAACACCAAATATGAATACAAATATAACTAGAACACTTCATTCCTTACTTCATCTCTGCTGATGAGTTCATTAGAAAAAGTGAGTCCAGGCATAAGACCTCTTTTCTTTAGCCAGAATATAGCAGCAAAGGATCCCGAGAAGAAAATTCCTTCTACAGCAGCAAAGGCCACCACCCTTTCCCCTGGGAGACATAAAATAGTTTCACTTTCTGAAATATGATATACTGCAGACATTTTCAAGCTTACATATATATAACATATATTATTTACATATTTTTTATAACAATACCACAACTATTTCGCCAAAAAACAAAATCAACAAGTTAGTGCCACAGCCAAGGGTCTTCAGAAGAGGAGATTTACCACCTCTACCTACTAAAACAGAAAGGCATGTCTACTCCAAATCCTCTGTCAGACATTGGACTCCTATAGGTCTTGGTATCTGGACAAAGGAGAGCTTTCTATACTCAAAAAGAGGTGATTTATCTGTGCACCACACATGCCTGTGAGTGCAGGTACATGTGTGTGAGTGCAATATGTGCATACACATATGTGTTTACTGGAGTGGAAAGAAGACAGATTTTATGACAAATGTCTCCCCGTCTTTGGTTGGAGGAGGAGAAATTGCTGAGGTTTATATTTTTAGAAACTTAAGGTATCTTACAGATTAGCTGTAAACATTTCAAAAAACATTGCCATGCACCTGCAATTTAAAAAAATAGACAGGGGCCGGCTTGGTGGCAAAGCCGTTAAGTTCCCACGCTCTGCTTGGGTGGCCCGGGGTTCACAGGTTCGGATCCTGGGCACAGACCAATG